CCGGCTATAGGTCTCGCACCGCACATTGCTGATGCACGTGCGCTTATATATTGTATAACTGAACTATATCATTATTGTACTCTGCTCCCTAGCTATTACATTCTGCACTCATCCTTTCGTTCGCCATTACGTACATTGTCGTCCTTGTCCTCGTCTTGTCCCTTCTTATCAAAAGTCTTCTTTGCCCTTTTTTATACCGGCTATCAGCAAACGTGCGCGTCGTCCTCTCTTTACCAAATACTTCCTCCCTCTCGCTCTTCCTTCACCCTCTTCCAACTCGTCTAACTCTTTCTCTTTTTCGTCCGATCTTTCAAATTCCTGTCTTCGTCGTCATTTCTGGCTGTTTCACTTTTGCTCTTGTTTATTTCTTCTGCAACAAGAGTGCGCGATCTCTTCTGTATAAATTGCACTCTCGCCGAAGCAAGGACTCACGAGTCACACGCTAAAATAAGGAAGTTAAAAGAAACAAGAACGGAACATCGGGATAGAAGTGATGACAATGTTGGAATGGTGCGTCGGAATTGCGACCACCCTGTTGACCATCCTCATCTACTTTGCATACTTCTTCAAATTCAATTGGGTGAAAGTGAGTGACGATGAAGCGGCACTATTTTCTGTGTTTTTTCTACAAAGTGTATTAAGATTATAACTTGATACTTTTTAAAGGACTTGAGAACTGAGACTAAAACGCGGCAGAACCGCAGCTTTTACGCGAGTAACAAACATCGAAAGGTGGGCAAACTACCGCCAGTTTATCCAAACGGATGGTTCGCTCTGCTTGAAAACTCGCAGATAAAAAATGGTCAGGTGAAACACGTATGTGCTCTCGGCGAAAATTTCGCGGTGTTCAGGTACGTCAGGGTATAGAATTTTCTATGATTATTTTTTCATACATTTTACAATATACTTCAAAATAAAATATATTGTATATTAATTATTTATCGCGTAACCGCGTAATGTTTTATCAATTTCTTTAAGAACCGAAAGAGGCGTTGTCAACATTTTAGACGCATATTGCCCGCATTTAGGGGCAAATATGGCCGAGGGTGGTCGTGTCAAGGGAGATTGTCTGGAGTGTCCTTTTCATAGCTGGACATTTCGCGGAAAGGATGGCTACTGCGAGAACATACCTTATGCTGAAAAGGGTATTAATCAAGTTCTACATAATTTTGAGTCTCAGACGACATCTATCTACCCCTTTGCTATCGGGATCTGTGACCAAGATGTTCGGATTGATTGTTTTTTATGGAACCACATTCCTGCGTACAGATGCCTGTTTGTGCATTTTAGCATACAACACAAATGTTTGCGTCTAAATATCAGGTGTCCATTTAGGGCCTAATAAATAATTCACCATTCTTGATTATAATAGAAATATGGGTGTCCCACAACTATCGCATTTAATCTTAAGAACGTATTTTTGAGAAAATTTTATGAGGGAAATTCTGATAAAAAAATGTCGAGGCTATAATAGTTTTTAAATTAATCGCATTTAAATTTCGCTAATCACAGAGCTGAGATTTCGCGCGCTCAGGCATGACGATATGACAAGTAGTGAATGTACCACGAGGGCCCCATAAACATGTAATATTTTTCAGAAAGTTGTTTGAAAAAATATGTACGTTTTTAATTTTTAATTATACACACATGTGCGTAATTAATATGCATAATTAATCTCGGGGAATAGTATTATTATTATTAAATTAAAATAGTTAAAATAGTTATATTAAAATAGTTTATCGATATTATCACAAAAATGTTTACCATACCAGACAAATGAACATAGTTACGAATTTATTTTGACAGCTGATACATATCGTAATATTTTGCAATTGAATTGATATTTTACGATATACTATTCCCTGAGATTAATTGTGCATATTAATTACGCACATATGTGTACAATTAAAAATTAAAAATGTACAAATGTTTTTTCAAACAATTTTCTGAAAAATATTACATGTTTATGGGGCCCGTGGTACATTCACCACTTGTCATATCGTCATGCTTGAGCGCGCAAAATCTCAGCTCTGTGATTAGCGAAATTTAAATGCGATTAATTAAAAACTATTATAGCCATCTATGTATAGACATTTTTTTATTAGAATTTCCCTCATAAAATTTTCTCAAAAATACTTTCTTAAGATTAAATGCGGTAGTTGTGGGACACCCTGTATATACAAATGTATACCAAGAATTATTTCTCGATGCATTTGTTTTAGCTATATGTAATTGTTTATTTTTTACTTACAGTACCACATGTCGCTCGAGTGAAAGTTTGGAAGAGCTGCGAAGTGAATAACATTATCTTCGTCTGGTACCACTCTGAATCAGCTGAGCCAGACTGGCAACCCCAGTCGCATACATGCATCTCCAATGGGTCCTGGCGTTATCAAGGTCGCAATGAATATCTCATTAACTGTCACATACAGGTTTGTCGCGCATTCCATTCTCTAATGCGAAGAAAGTATGCTTCATTACTCAAAAATCACTAGAAGACAATTAGAAAAAAGAGAGTTAATTTCACAATATAGTATTATAGATCAATTAAATAAACTAAACAAATTATTATTTATTGAAAGTTTATTTGAAAGTACTTTCGAGAATCACTTTTCAGTGTCATAAACTGAAAAAAAAAAGTATTATATATAGGAGATTATTCTTTTATTCTGCCTACTTTGAGAACCCCTTTTAAAATAACTTGTAATAATAAATTTGTGGACTTGTGCATTAGGAAATAGCTGAGAATGGAGCTGATCCTGCACATCTTACCTCGGTGCATGGTCCAGTTATGTTTCTCTCTGGCAACTTTTCCTGGTTAGCTCGGCATTTGTGGATCACCTACACGGGATGGCGACCGCATTGTTCGCATGATAACCAAACGGACGAAGACGAAGAAGCAGCAAAGTCGTGCAATAAATTGAACAACATGTCGATTCACCCGATCGAGAATGGCAAAGAAAATCGTCAATTTGCAATCTCACAGAATAGCTTCAGCAATAAAGAGAAGCACAAGGCCGGTCTGCACATGTGCCATAAGTTGGTCCTTCTGGAACGTTTTAGCGTAATGGAGATTGATGTACTCGCTGAGCAGATTGGGCCTAGCTACGTTGAGTTAATTATCACTACATCCATCGGGCCTATGTACATTCTGCAGACAGTAACGCCGGTTGAGCCATTACTGCAGCGAGTGACTCATCAGATCTATTCGCCACCTTTACTGGCGCCATACGCGAATTTAATTTTTCTAGGCGAGTGCGTGATGTTTGAGCGCGACATTAAGATCTGGAACTACAAGAGATATGAACGACAACCTATTCTGGTAAGGGAGGATCGAGCCATCCAAGCATACCGTCGTTGGTACTCGCAGTTCTACTCCGAGCACAGTCCCACCTATGAGACTGCTATGAAGGATCTACAATGGTAGCAATATCTCCTTTTCGAAATGTAATTTTTATACTTCTGTTACATTTTGTAGGTATTATTTTTATTATTGACATAGATAATTTATGTAGAACGTTTTTAAACATAATACGTGTTAATTATAATATAAATAGTTATGCTTGGTTTAAAACGAGATTAAATCTGTTATCAGAGTGTCCATACATATTTTTTCTGTTGCTTAATATTTTTGACATATTTGCTATGTACGTATAAACTTTTATGACAGACGATAATGATGAATAAATAAGTCCGGATTTACAATAGATGTTTTAAGCCATAAGAAATTGAACAATTACAGTTGATTACAAGGAGAATAACTCACTTCTTAAGCCTAGATTCTACAATGTGCTCTTTGTTTCTTGTTTTTTCTTCCTTCTTTGCAACCATTTTACTGACAACTATATTTCTTGCTACATATTTCTTGTTTCTTCAGAAATTCGTTAACTTTTACCGGGATAGAAAACGAAAAATAGGATAGGAAGCAAAAAGTCAATACGTAAAAAATCGTAAAAAACGAAAACCAGGAAACCGAATGCATTATAGAACAGAATTTAGAGTGCAATGACACTCTAATGACATAAAACGCAAAAACGTGGAACCACGAAAAATAAGATGAACTAGACTTTACTAAATTTCCACATTTGCGCGCGTTCTGTTCCGTCTGTTTTAATTTTCTTATATGGCTCGATCTTTGCGTACCAAGATATGGAACACAATTTATTTATTGATTAGAGATTTATAGATTAGCTTGTGTTTATTAAATAAGCAAAAAAGATAAGCACATTAATAAAAATTGCAATAAAGTAGGTGAATATAATTTTTAAAAATAAAAGATATAGAAATATGTTTAAAGCATCTGTTCAATTTGAGCTCTGGATGCAATACCATCGATGCAAAAGGGTTCAATGTAAAATTTCAAGGATTGTACAGTGAAGCGTCACTCATAGATACATATAAATACTGAATAGTTCCGAAATTTTACCCACATTAAATTTTTTACATCGATGGCATTGCGTTTTGACTCCGAAGCTAAAAATTGGACAATTCTGTGTTAACGAATGTCCTTGTGTTGTATCATTGTATCATAATCGTGTATCATGATCATCTAAATGTGGACAAGACGCATCGTATCTGTATATCGTATCTGTGTATTATTTTGATATACAGATATACAATACGACTATTAACGTTTATCATTGACAGAACTGGTGCGGACTCAGTGCACATTAAAGCCTTATACTCTAATTTAAATGTAACAGTGAGATATCTCATTTGATAAAATATGCCCAATGTATATTTTATGAATTTTTATTCCAAAGAGATTGTCGTAAAATTATATGTATGATGTATTATACAAAAAAAATTTGATTATAATAATTACGAAGGATAAATAAATGCATCAAGTAAGTATGAGACCATTTATAGCAGACAATCTATCATTAGCAAAATAAGATAAATTACGTTTTTCGAGTTAGATAAGAGCGAAGCGCTTTTATAAGTAAAGGTGAGAGGTGCGCACGCGACATTAATATCTGCATGAAGATCGTGAAAGCAACATGATGCGAATCATTGTCGCTTTTTCGGTATTGTTTGTTCTGTGTGAAATAACATCTTCCTTTGCCTTCGTTTTCGAAGACTGTGGTAAGTGCGTATCCTAAGTATTTTGAAGAACTATATCTTTGCAAGAAGACCGATTATGCACATTAGATATTACTTCTTCAGTGTGACAATATATATATTATCCGTATTATTAGATTATATGTTAATTGGTACAGTAATTAATATATAATATATTAATTATTTAATTGTCTACATTAAAAGCTGTAAAAGTCATTATAGTCAATGCAGCAATTTGCATTACCTGTATGTATATGTATACGTATAAGAGACAAATTTGCGCACACATCAAGAATTAATAATTAATTTAATATATCAATATTCTGCATATTTTCAAATATCTCGTTTCTTTCCAATTTGTATTTTTGTTGTGCAATGTAACAAGCGTTTTATTGTTATTGTTTTATTTTAAATATCTATTGTACTTATAAAATATCCTGAAACATTCTTTTAATAAATTCTTTGGACAATTCAAAATTTTGAATAAAAATGTAATTTCGATACGTTAAAAAATATATAGAGTATATGTATAATAATAAACACTAAAAGTTTGAAAGTACGCGGGAAGATAAAATTAATCATTTTTTAGATATATATTAGCTGAAATTAGGAAAAACCATTTCTAAATTTGTCTATAAATGTATGATAAAAACATAATATTAGAATAGTAAGAGGATAACAAGCTCATATTAGTAACAATACAAAGAAAAATAATGGGCGAAGAAATAGATCTAATTGCTTTCAATTCATTTTATATTTATATGATATAGCTTAATTAAATTAAGAAAATAAAAATAACTCCGAACGTTATGGCTAACGTAGCATCTTTTATCAGCAAAAAAGTAATTAAATGCAAAAACTTAATATTAAATTATTAGGAATTATAACAACATAATCCCTCCAACTCACATTAATTAATAAGAGACACAATGAGATATAAATCACAGGTCAGAGAAAATATTTGAAACGTCAATCGCAAATCCGATTTTGTCATATTAATATTTATTATTTCTGTTTCCGAATGTGATCATGTAGAACAACCAATCTACGGATCTATCGTTTTTTTCTTTTTTTGAAATAGTTGCAATCAAACCAGTCAAAAACGATGAATCGGATGGTCTGAACACATTTGGAAACAGGAACAGCGAATATTGTAACGTAGTGTATATTTTTTTCTGTGTTACGAAACGCATGTTCGAAATTGAAATTATTTTTATTTTTTTATTTTTTTCTAAATTCGATTAAATTATATCAAATAAATACGAAATAAATTGAAAACAATTAGATTAGTTTTTTTATTCCTGCCATATCTTGCCATTTCTTGTTTTATTGTGATTTAGAATATTCTATAATAGATAATATCAACCCTCTTCAATTTTCTTATAGCATCGATAAAATTCATCAATGAAACTAACAAGGGGACTTCTGGAGGTGTTAAATTCTGATTTTAATGAAACTTTGTGAACTTGTAGCTTACATAACGAGCTAACATAATTTATAAAATATAGGTTGCGGCCAAAAAACGGTTTGTAATGGTGAAAATTTTTGAAAAAAAATTGTTAAATAATTATTCTAAAAATGCGAATTAATACAGCTAATTTTGTTGCAAAACTTTTGTATAGAATATTTTTATATATCTCAAATAGTTTTCGAGATATAACGGAAAAAGTTGAAAACCGCTGTAATTACAAATTGCAAGGAGACTATTTACACATTGAGAATCTTTAATTAAGAATGTAATGCCGGAAACTATTAGTAACATTACACATTAAGCCATTTAATTACGTATATTCTTTGGATGTTTGCCTGATTAATATGTAATTATGTTGTAGCACATAATTTACCGTTACTATAAAATGTAATTACAGCAAATAAGCAATATGAAAAGAGCGCCTTTACGCGATGTGCTTGTTTGTGCAAAATTTATAAATTTATTTTGTTTAATTTTTAAAATTGTTTAAGCCTGTTTTATTAATTATTCATTTATCTTGTTTAAGTGAAATTAATGTGTTGAGTAAACATTTATAATACTTATCTAAGTTTGTGTATAATGCAAATTATTCGTTTGTGATTTTTAAATTTATTTTCAGGTTCGGAGGCAGGCAAATTCAATGATGTTTCGATTTCAAGCTGTGATGTGTCCGATGAGAAATGCTCATTACCCCGTGGCACAGACATAAACGTATTCCTCAAATTTACATCAGGTTAATAAAATAATTGTATTTCAGTCGTATATTTTTTCAATATACGTATATACATTTATATTATATATAAATTTGATATTTCTTGGAGAAATATATGATAGATATATAGATGGTCAAAATCTTACTTAGAATTTCAAATTATAATTTTACAACGATGTAATATAATTATGTCTATAAAATATTAAAAAATAAGGATTATATTAATATATTTTTACAGATAAAGATATTTCGGACGTCAAAGCATATGCGTTTGGCATATTGCTCGACGTGGCTATACCCTTTCCATTGGAAAATTCTGATGTTTGCAAAAATCCAAATTCGGGAGTCAAATGTCCTTTAAAGAAGGATCAGGAAACTGAGTTTAAAGATACATTTAATGTGGATAAGAAGACTCCTGCAGTAATTTCGCTTTAAATTAAATGACAATGTTAACACTTTTGCGGTTCGCATAAATATGTGTATTACATCAATTGATTCTAACACACGGTTGTGATAAGAACTGAGTTACATATTTTTTTGCCGTAAATACATATGTAATTATGCTGTTTAATTGTGCTTAATTACAGATATGCAATTGTTTTTGCGTTGCCAAGGAACATATGTATTTTGCTTATATTTGTACCTATAACAATTACATGACAATTGTACACAATAATAACAGATTTCATATGTATTCAGTATTAGCCATATGTGTTCCTAGTAAACACAAAGTTACATGTAACGTGTTTTATTGCACACGGCGTGTTATATTGTTGAGTAACAATTAATATCTCGTTAACTACTGTGATAATTGTAAAATGGTACAGGACTTTTCTTCTCAGTTTAGTCCATTCTACCCTCTGTATGGAATATGTTTCATTATTTCTCAAACACCCTGTATAATTATATATATATATATATATATATATATATATATATGACGGCACTCAGTGGTCTGCAAAGTTAATCTATGATTTTAAATATAAATTATCTTAAATACTTAAAATTATACAAAAGAAGTTGATACTTTATCAAGTTTTCTCAATTATATTGTATTACTTCTTAATTACGTATCAATTTTTAGAAAATTATTAGTTACATTTTTCTTCTATGTTCTTTAATTTTGGTGTATATTTAATTAATGTTTCCAAAACTTTTTATGTTATAAATAATAATGTATTTGTATATTATTTTTCAACTTTTATAATTATTATTATTAAATTAGTTGTTTCTTTTTTAGGTAAGCGTCGATGTTATCTGGGAATTTAGAAATGAGAAGGACGAGAAGATTATATGTATAAAATTTCCAGTGAAAATTGTATAAGAATGCAGCTGGAATTTTTATAGTGACTATAACAGTTTATTGCGTCTCAGAATCCAAGGGTGCGTTCCACTTGGCGCTTACAACGCTTGCGAGTGTTATTTTTCCTTGTTTAACATTTAATAAACAACAAGGATGAAATGATTCCATGAGCGTTGCGAGCGTCAAGTGGAACGCACCTCAAGTGTACACGTTACTTACATTAGTTATTTTTGAATAATGGACCTCGCTTCATTTTTCCACGCATGTCGCAAACTTCACCGATTAATACTGTAGGAATAATAAATGAGATAAAAAAGTGACATTTATGTTTTATTAATATTTTATAATATGTTTTTAAAATATTGTCTGCCTTTTGATTAAAACACCAAAATATACTGATATCTGAACTAACAATAAACAGTCTAAAATCAAGACATAAGGTATCACATACAGAGTGAAGCATTTTAACTAATTGCCTCAGGCGAATATCTCAAAAACTAATTGTAAGAGAGATACAAGAAAAAATTTTATATAAAAGTTGTAGGTTTTCTTAGGGGAAAGAAGATGAAAATAACGGATTTTAGATAGGGTGTACTACCAAGATCAAGTTAAGGTCAATATGAATTTTTTAAATCCCATATTCTTTATTGTATCCTCTTGTAGCACACCTCGAGAGCTTTCCAAAACACTAATAAAATATGTTTTCATCAAGTACTTTTCGATAATGCTTGAAAGTTACAGTATCGTCGGTATTAGCATTATTTTAGGTGTCCTATCAACGACTAAAATCTCTTGAATGTTGTACAAGATCATCATCTTGATAATATTTATCAAGATAAAGGCGATTAAAGTATGTACTTCTTATTTTCATTTTTGCAACGAAAATTCATACTGATTAATTTGAACAAAAATACAAAAATTATCTAATTAATTTTGAGATGGTTCACATGATCGGTAGTTCACAAGTAATTGCATTTTCTTTTATAGGTCTATGAAAACTTGTATGTAGGTACATGATATGCTGTATACACACATACACACACACACAGTTATTATAATATTTTTGTCTTCATACATTCTTATATTATCTTTATATAATAAGGTTAATTAGTTTGATATAATAAATATACCAAGTAAAATAAAGTATTTTAAAAAGATAAATATTCAATAGTTTAAGACAAATTCAGTATCTATTGCATATGTTCCAATAAAATTGCTGAAACGCATTACTGTCTAGATATTACTTAAAACTAAACAATAGTAGAATTATTATCATTTTCTTTTTGCGCGCTCGTCTTTATCTCTTCTGTACAGCGCGATTTCTCTATGTAAATGTGTATTTTCTCGTCTACATAAATCATATTCCTATCTGTGAAATTGAACAAAGCGATAACTCACAAGGCACGCCAAATAAGAAAAAGTTAAAAAATTCGAGATAACCGGACATTGGAATAGTAATGTTGACAAATGTTAAAATGCTGCGTCGGAATTGCGACTACCCTACTAAACTATATTGAAATCTTATACTCGTATACTTTGCATATTTCATCAAATTCAATTGGATAAATGTTATAGTGTTGACGTTTATTTTTTGTGATTTTTCTATAAAATGCTAAGATTATAATTTAACTTTTTTTGAAGGAATTGAAAACTGGGACTAAGGTACTCCTCCGACTAGCTCCCTCTCGGTTCAATCTTAATCTAATTAAATCCTTATCTATTTTCCATTGACAAGAGAGGCTGGATGAATCTCGTTTTGCGTGGAAAGTTGTTCGCCCCTTGGCAAGAGGGGAGGTGATGTTTACATAGGTGATATTTATATCCCATTATTGATTGACAAATCAAATGCAAAGGTCCTATCAATTTTTATTATGAGTATAAACGAAACAAGCGCGTCAATGCTGCTACTAAAGATCTTGCTCATCTTCGATTTTTTATTTTTACCTTTTTTACTTATATTAATGTAAAAATCGCTTTTTAACTTCTACCTTTCATTACGCTATCTATTGCATTTCGTTATTTTAATGTGTTGTTATATTTTATACATTTTAAATGTTCTATTGTGTGTTTTGTATTAAGTCTATTGTAATTGTGAGAAATTATCAAATACAACGTAGTCCTAAAAGTTATCCAAAGAATATGTACACTATAATAAGGACGTTTTCAAAATGTCGCTCGAAGAACTGAGTTTTGTGGGACTTTTTTATTATAAATAAAATTAAACAACAAAAAAAGAAAGGGCAATGTAGGAGTCAAATTCAAATTAATATAACATATGGTTACATAAACGTAAAAACTTATAACTGATAGAAAAAATCCTTTGTAGAAAATATATGAAATTGGAAAGTTTGAAAACTACTTAAAAAATATGTATATATCTAACGTTACAAGTTTCGATTCTAGGATTGAGCCCTCTTCAGACATGAAATAATCGCAGTATGTCGGAATACGACGAAGCACGAATAGTCATTATAATATTGGCCCCGTGAGTCACCATGTAATAATGAGACATTGCTCGCAAACGATTGGAAAGTCGTATGTATATGTATGTACAACGATATCTCTGAAAAATAGTAAGGCAAGTGTAATAAGAAACAATTGAATATAATCGGTTCGTCGACATGTGTATAGTAGATGCAGTCAAAATGTTAATAATATTTGACTGCACCTACACTCTTTATATAAAGAGTTCTTTTATCTTTATATAAAGAATCCTTTTATATTTTTGTTTTTTATTATAAATTCCCCCCAAATTATGCGCCGAACTATCATCGGTTTTGAAACGCAATTCTAAATGGTGACCTAAAAGATACATGTATAAACGATAATATATAAGTTTTTTATGTGGTTTAGTAATAAACAATAAAGGAATTAAAAATGAGCATATACTACGAGAGAGAGAGAGAGAGAGAGAGAGAGAGAGAGAGA